CTTGAAATATGCTCAATCCCCTACGAAAAAAGGGGAAGAGATGCATACTGGAAAGGGAACGGCGTTCCCTCTGTTGGCGAAGAAAACGAATCGAGGAACAACTAGAGTCACACCCTAACTCAACAATGACGAAGAAGGCTAAGTAGGGAAATAGAAACGATTGAACTAAAGCAACAAGAATCGTACAAAATCCAAGAGACACAAAGAGAGCAGAAGGCCATCAGTGGAGGACAGGCTGCGCAACCCGTCCTCCAAACAAAAACCCAAAAGTGATATAATGCACCAACCCAACCCGTCCTCGACTAAAGTTCATTACATCCAGTGGTCGACCCCACAGACGCATTCTTAAATTTTTACATGCTGTTCATTCAAAACGGGAATTTTCTCATAAACGGGAAATTTTCTCAAAAAATAAATGTTATAATATATTAGCATATTGTGTATATATAGGCATAGGTTGGGTTAGGTTAGGTTAAGTGTTTAGGTTTTGTTGGTGATTATTTGTATTTGTAGTACGTGGGTGAAGCATTTACAGAGTTGTAGTTCGAACAAAATTCGTCAGTGAATCATTTGTTCTGGAAGTGTTCGAACGAAATTAGCTGTGAGTCGTGTGTAAACCGTATTTCATTCATAAACGGGGTTTGGCGGCTGCATGGAATCGTTTTGGGTCTTTGTTTGGAGGACGGGCTGACCCACCAAACCCCACTGTTTATGAATGAAAAACGGTTTACACACGACTCACAACTGATTATGTTCGAACACTTCCGGAACAAATACTTCACTGACGAATTTTGTTCGAACCACCACGCATTAAATGCGTCACCCACGCACTACAAATACAAATAATCGTCAACAGAACCTAAACCTCTAACCTGACCTAACCAGTGCCTATATATGCACAATATACTAATATATTATAATGTTTTGTTTGTTTTGAATGAACAGCATGTTAAAATTTATGAATGTGTCTGTGGGATCGACCGCTGAATGGAATGGACTTAAGTCGAGGATGGGTTGTATTGCGTGCAGGAAGCTCCCAGAGGCGGTCGCCCGGGCCATTCAAGACTCGCAGGTTGCCACAAATATTTTTACATTTATTTTCTCAATGCATTTTCAACGCTTTATATGTTTTTTTCGTACATGATGCAAATTTGTGTCCTTTACAATATGTTTACAGTAGATCCTCGTTCTTACAGATAGGGGCCTCGTAGCCTGGTGGATAGCGCACAGGACTCGTAATTCTGTGGCGCGGGTTCGATTCCCGCACGAGGCAGAAACAATGGGCAAAGTTTCTTTCACCCTGAATGCCCCTGTTACCTAGCAGTAAATAGGTACCTGGGAGTTAGTCAGCTGTCACGGGCTGCTTCCTGGGGGTGGAGGCCTGGTCGAGGACCGGGCCGCGGGGACACTAAAACCCCGAAATCATCTCAAGATAACCTCAAAATAGATCGTTCATAATGTTCCAAGGAGCTGTGATACATGTGTCAGTAATATGTCCACAACAAATGTTCATTGTCACGGTATACTTCTTCAATATTCAATATATTTAAAATATGTACACTTTCCCACACTATTTATACAGTCACACGCTGTATAACACACTCAGTACTTCGGAAGTGAGAGAAAATCAAAGAAGCAGTCCATGGTACACAGCGCGACTTCGCTCTCGATGCCCCAGGTACAAACTGATAATAGTTCCTGTTTCTTCGTTCTGTCTGCTTGCAAAAAAAAAAACGCACTCACGTACACCTTTGGCCTTAGTACCTGTATGTGGCATGTAGCAAAGCTTTTGAAGTGTATGGTAGTCTTGAAAAGATTATAGGAAAATATCCATTTGTAAAGTAGTCTTGAAAAGATCGCTTTGCAAGGTAGGATTGAGAAGATTCAGGTATTCTGGAAGAGATTCAGCTATTCCTGAAAAGATCGCTTTGTAAGGTAGGATTTAAAACATCCAGGTTTTCTTGGGAAGATCTAGGAAAAGCTCAGTGACAAAACACTCTTCTGGTAGCATTAATATCTACACCAGTATATGGGAAAGTGGATGCAACACCAATATCAGAATCCTCAAATTGTGTTTTGTTTTGCAAACCACAAATTATTGCTTTGTGTTACAAAAAAAGTCAACTATGCTACATGTATCAGATGCATCATCATTGAACCAAGAAAAAGATTCATCCTATATGGGAGCCGGTCGGCCGAGCGGACAGCACATTGGACTTGTAATCCGGTGGTCCCGGGTTCGATCCCGGGCGCCGGCGAGAAACAATGGGCAGAGTTTCTTTCACCCTATTACCTAGCAGTAAAATAGGTACCTGGGTGTTAGTCAGCTGTCACGGGCTGCTTCCTGGGGGTGGAGGCCTGGTCGAGGACCGGGCCGCGGGGACACTAAAAAGCCCCGAAATCATCTCAAAATAACCTCAAGATATATTATCATCTATAACAACTGGAGTTGACATGGGTGGGCATGGGTGACCTCAGTAACTACTGATATGCTGGCTGTTTCGTCCTCACTGGTGCTGTATCACCTGTATCCCACCTTAGTGTTAGGTCCTTATTGTGCCTAGCTTCATCAAGAGCATGGCCCTTATGTTCTTCAAACAATACGGTCTGAATTTCACCGACAGAGAACGATCTTTCAACACCACATCGGCTAGAGTATTGTGAGCCAGAGGCGCGTACACCACCCATGGTTGCTCACTCGGAACTGAGCCAGCCAGCAGCCCTAGGGCATTCTGGGAATTTTTTCCAAGATGACTGCCTCTCACTGGAGGTCCCAGGAGTCCATTTCATACCTAATCTATTGCGTCCGCGTTTTGAATGGTACGAAATCTTTAATTGATCTTTTCTCGGCCTGCACAGTTTTTGCGGAACGAGTGTTCTCGACCAACGCAGTCCAGTTGTTAATACACTTTCGCGCCCCCTTCGATGGTAAAAAAAAAAAGTGGTAAGTGCGCGCGGCGTTTTTGCTGTTTAAGCGAAAAAACAAAAATGTGTATACTCTTTTTACTCTCCTTACCTTAGTTCTTGAGCTACGTATTACATTTTGGTACCAACGTGTTCGCAATAAAATCCTCTAGAAGAACATCAATACAAAAGTCACAAAACATATAAGGATACCAGCACCAAATAAATAACTACGAAGATGACTCGCCGTGAGCGCCCAACAGCAACAAAATGTTTTTACTCTTGGGATTGTTATCACCTCCACACTTGTTCTACAGCGTTAATTTTGGTATCAATGGACTCGCAATGAAATTCCCAACACGGTGATATGAATATAAGCGTGGAATAATGATTGCGGCCCGCCCGCAAGAGTGTGGGAAGTGGTGAAATTGTTACCCGGTATCGGTGACGGGACGACGCACGGCGCTTTGAAAGTTTATACTTATTTCACTCTCATGACATTAATTTTCTATGTACGTCATTCATTTTTGTGTCAATGTGTTCGCAATAGAATGTTCTATGAGCCCGTAGGTAAAAAAGATCAACAAAGCGTAAGATAGAATAGCGCCAAATATAAAACAATGCTGGAACATATCAGTGAGCGTCAAACACACACGAAATGTTTTTACTTTTCTTATGTTTGTCAAGTTTATACTTGTTGCACACAGTTATTTTTGGTTGTACATTGATCGGAATAAAATTCCCTAAACAGACATATGCATATAATACATGATATGGGGGAAGCACTACCAGTATAAACGGCTAAAGTCACCCACCTGCAACCCGTTTGGGACATAATACCATTTGATCGAAGTGGTCCACACCTTTCATGACATTATTGTATAATGCAGCCTAGTGGTGAGAAAGAGAGCCTCATGGCGCGCAGTTTGAAACAAACCCAAAGTAAATCGGATAAAAATTGAATTTTATACAAATATTTTAAAAGAGGACATAACTTTATGTCCACCATGCAGGAACGGTTAGCGAAACAGGACTCCTCGGTGCGTCCTGATCCCGCGAAAGTGTTTTAATTAATTAATTGATTAAGCGTCTGAGAAGGTATTTGGGGTTCAACATTTGGATGACGAGTGTTTAAACCACTGAGATCCTCTTATGTTTGATTTTGTTTGTGTTCTGCGAATTTTTTGTTAATAATCTTCACACTCAGACACATCCTCGGCTTTTGCTCAGTGTCTGAAAAAATAGACCGGATAGCTTGAATATATCCATGCAAGGATTCGTAGAGAGCACAAGCTGTGTTCAAGTCTTGGCAAGACGATTGCAAGGAAACACTGATCATTTGAAAACAATCCAATATTTAATCCAACAATTTGACCAATATTCCTATTTCCATCTTCATCATGGTTGACAGTCGTCCACGAGGCTGTTGTCGACACTCTGCCTTCTAATCACCGTTATATCAAGCGTTATCCAAAACGTGTTTTTTTTTTTTTTGCAAGAAAGCTGTGTAAAAGTGCTTTTGTTGTATATGCACGCACTAACCATCTTATATCATATATTCATTTTGCAATAGGCAAATTAGCACCAAAAATCAGTTAGTGTAGCAGCAAGGAGATCCCACCGGTAAATAGAAGCAGAACAAATGTGAAATTACTTTTTACAAATTAAAAGAATATTAATGTTTCTTGGAAACATTCAGAAGACCATTTTCCAACCAAATTTAATGAAAGTGCAAAACGTGGAATTCAATCCGCATACTCAATCAGATCTTTAATTCGTGCATGTAAGGCATTATTCTTGCCATTCATGTTGCTGGCATTATCATAACTTTGACCATGGGAATCTTTTATGTCAAAATACAGCGTGTAAGTATTAGTGCGAATCCCTCGAAAATGTGGAGCCCGTAACAAATGCTACTTTTGTTATAGACTAATCCAGCCCAAACACTGGGTAATCTGTCCAAGAGCTTATTATTTTACCTCTGATTTTCTCACTGGCTCCTATATTAGATTTGCTGAAGATTATCATTCCTGAAACCTGTTTATAAATTCAATTTCAAATTAAATTTGTTTTAATACATTTCATTTTGTTTTCAGATTTTAAAAACTTTACAAAAGTGTAAGAGACAACTGAAAGCAACATGGCGTCAAGCCGGTGGTCTGCGAAAGAGACCCGGGATTTCGTTAATCATCTGAGAGATGTTGACCGGAACATCATCGGAAAGGAAGACATTCAAAACATCTCATTAAAAATGAATGCACTTGGGTACAGGAGAAACGCTGAAAAATACTTCACAAAATATTGTGATATGAAAAGAAATCACCCAAATCCTGACGTATGTAAAGTTATAAATGGCATTGTTGGTAAGTAAAACAATTTTTGTTATTTTACCTTCTAATGATTATTACTGAAATGCACACGTCATATCATTATAACAAAGATGTTATACTAGATAGCCTTCTTAATCCTTAGAATACATATTTCTGCTCTCCGACATCACTATCTAGGATTTGTATTATATTAGCGAAAAACTAAATTAGTTACTAATTCGAAAATGAAATAATATAACTTTTACGTTTCTTCATTATAAGAGTCAATGAAAATAATGATTATTTTAAAGTCAACATAAAAAATCATAAGTGATCTAAAATATATTTAGTTTGTATTAATATATTTGAGCAAGATGTTGTCGCATGCTACAATTATTTTAATTAATTAGTGTCTATTTAATAATATATTTATCTCTTGATTTGGAAATAGTCCGAAAATGTAAATTCTTTATAATTAATGGACTTAAATGCGGAGTGCAGCTATTTGTAGGTTAAAAAAAAGCCTCAATTATTTCATGATACACACTGTGTTTAACTATGACGAACTATCGTACTTCACATACCTCAGGACAACGTCTAAGGATTTACAATGTTATAGATAAGGTGAATTACGGACTTCACACTGGCAGGAAAGGTAGCGTGAATAGCAACAAAATGGCTCAGAGAATAGATTGGAGAACATCGCATTGGCTAGAAAGTTGAATAAAAGACACCAAACTTGTTGGAAAAATGTGAAAAAAAACTCGCAGCCAGTGAAGAGCATCACACTGGCTGTGAGGGTACAGTGAAGAGCATCACACTGGCTGCGAGGGTACAGTGAAGAGCATCACACTGGCTGCTAGGGTACAGTGAAGAGCATCACACTAGCATAGAGGGGTAGAGTGAAGTGCATCATTCTTTCTGCAAGCATCATACTTCATTATAAAGACTCAAGTATTTACACACGTATGATCAGTTGTGAAAAAGTTCCTTAGAACACCAATTGCAAGGCTCAATGTATAATCAGCTTGAGAAACATAATTTAAGAAATTACTCTCAGCATGGATATATTACATGGAGTAATATGTTGTCAACCCTTCAGACTTACAGCATCCTTCACAAATAACTTACTCACCCCAGATTGTTCTTAGTGTAACAACCTTCATGGCATCGTACACATCACCGTATTGGTGGTTTCTGTCTACTCCTCTACTCTATCTTGCCGTCTTAACAATAACTGCCGTTCACTATATGTTTCTCTCAGCCCCAACTGAATAGTGTACATCACATATAAACTTAACTGCCATTTAGAACTTTCTCCGGACTGTTGTGTCCGCCTGTCCGTCGGTAAGGAGATAGAGCTGGATCTCTAGAGTTGGCAAAGATGCTTGTAAAGACTTGATGTCCTGTTATCAGACGGACTATTAAGGATGCTTACCCAAGCGCCTGGTACACTCTCATTTTCATATAAATTAATGTGATCCACGACTCTTAAGTCATTACATCTTCCAGCAATTTTCTCCACTCCCTGTTCAGTTCGTTATTGCTGTGAGGGGGACTTGGTGGGCGGCTGCCAGAGAGTGATGCTCCTTGGGACAGTCCTCTGTCCTTTTCTAGCCTTGTGCTCCTGCTGCTGTCCTCTCTAATTGTGCGGAACGACTTTTCCTTTTCCTTCTGTTTCGTTTTTTCCCCCCCTCTTCTCCTATCTGCTTGTCGTTTCCTGCTGACCTTTTGCTTGTTTTGGTTAT